TCGTGTTGTGACTTAAGTACAATATGAAAAATAGAATATAGATTGTTTGTAGTATTTCAATAACATTACTTCCATCCTGTATGATGAAGCAAAGAGGAGTTTCTAATAACGCTGTTCACAACTTGCATAAAGTTATGATCATCATTATTGTTATCATCATCATCTGCTTCTTCTTCTTCTTCTTCTTCTTCTTCAATATTTATAATTATTAGGTTTATTATTATACCATTGTTGTTAATATTATTCCTATATTATATTTTGTTAATCATCGTAATCATCATTAGCAATAACATTGTCATCATGAGTTATTTTCGAGCCCGATTTTGTCGTTTCCAGTTTTCATTTGAATTAAATTTGCCCCGATACCACGTATTATTTTTCAAGGCATATCCATCCAGCTAACAAGTTTGAGGTCGCTCTTTCTTTTGTAAGTAACTGAGATCTATATATTCTTTGCCTGAGATCTTGGCTGAGATGTAAAATGTTGTAAGAGGGCGCTCTAAATGATTTGTTTATTGTCAAGAGGCGACTCGCTTGTATCCATGAGCAGTAACGTACAATTTACTTTTGAACTATGCTTTTAATCCGTTTTATAATATTTTCAATATTAATTGAATTCAGGATGAGAAAAAATAATTATATCATAAGTCGCATTTGTTGCACACACCATACTCAATTGCAAAACCTAGGCCTCTGTATGTATGTAGCTTGCATCTTGCACTGTATAGCTTTGAATCTTGTATTTTGAGTGTTGTGCATTTTAGTATTATTATAGTGCCAAATAGATATTGTCTTTGTGTTTCATATGTTTAATATTCTTAAATTGTAATGCAGAGGAACTTAGCCATTGTACTATATATACCAAATACTTTTTTTATACATATATATTTAAAAAAAAACCATTCATATATAATTGTTGATCCCAATGATTCATTTTCACCTTTATTATAGATGGCAGCAAACAGAAAATTTCATTAGTCTGTATATTCTGACAATAGTGTAACTCCAATTCCCACAAGCATTTTTATTAAGCGCATTCACGACTTGTCTTAAGCTATCTGTTTGTGTCCAATTTTATATTTGCATAGTTACCAACGGTCCCGCATTTAAAAGTGATTTTGGATGAAGCACGCAGAAACACATGCGTGATCAGAAATTTGTCACGTATTTAGCACAAGTCTATGCGTGATAACGAATTATCACGAATTCATAGGAAGATATATATAAAATTAAAAGAAATTGGTGTTATTAAAATATAAAAACGGTCATGCGGTAGCTTGTGTCATTAGAGCTTTCGTTATCTCGTTCGAGAATCAATTTACCGAGAAAATTTCTCTTTCCCCACTTAAAACAACCCAGCCAGCAATGCACTTAGTGGAATCAGTAGTCGCGTGCGGTCTTGTGCGTTCCATTATTACAACCAACCGTTGATTATGTGACTGGAGCCCGGGCCTCCATGGTTCCGCCACTGACCCCGAGGGCCCTGGCGCCCCCCCCCCTCCACTCCCACCAAACTGGTGTAGTCACGCATTTCAAATCTCTCAGGTTGGTATCTATAAGTATTTGGTATGTTGACCTTGGTCAGCCTCTATAATCTCTGTAACCCCCCATGTGTTGTACCATCCATTTGAACACATTCTTTCAGTTGTTGTTGCACTTATTTATTGTTTAGTTCAAATATCTTCTTTCAGTTTAAAATGTCCTAAAAATTCATATTTACATAGATAAATGTAGATGTAAATTATTTTAGGCAGCCTGAGATGGGGAGTTTGCATAGACACGAAGTCTGTCATCCGCCCCAAACAGATTCAAATAACAACACCTAATAAAAGTATAAGGACAAAAACTCGATAACATAACGTATCATAACCTCAAGCGTCCAATGAGGGACACTAATATGATGTCGAATGTGTGAAATGTGTAGGCTGCCAGCACCTTGACTTCTAATGATTAGTGCCAACAATTTTCACAAAAAAGTGATGCATGAATGACGAAACGATTATTATTGTTTATTTTCGGTAAAATTATTTCAGCTGCTCCAAGTTTCTTTCCCATTCTTCTTTCTTCCGATGCTTCTTCCATATTTACGTTAAATTTAATTTATTTTACTGAATAACATACGCATAATGTACATAACATATAAATATAATAATAATAATATAAATATAAATAAATATATCATTTCGATACATAATTACATGTTCTAACTGGACTCTAGATCTAGGCCTATGTATACATTGTGTCCGTATTTAATATGTTTTAATCTTTGTCAATCTAAAGTCAAAGGTATGTGCTGGTCTCCACGAACCTTTCGGATATGCTTATCTTCATGACTTCTATGAACGGATACCTTGTTTGAAGCAAGAAACCAAGTTGCCTTTATCCAGTTCCACTCGTCTATTTTTTCGTGTGGGAAACTTTCAACCTATGGTTCAAGCGTTGTAATGTTTCTTTAATTCTTATCGTGTCTTTAATGCGTTTTCAAATTATGAAATGGTATCCTCTAAAGCTTAAGACACAAACCATAAAAGTTCTGAAGCGTTGAGTTGGGTAGGGGAGTCCTCAGGTGGGGAGTTGAACATGATTGATATTTTTTATTGTGCATTCTGCTTTTATCACTATTATTCATGAAAACGATAAGCGTTTCCTTAAGTTCATTCATTATTTATATGTTCACTGGATTCTGGAGTAAACAGTGGATTATCTCGTTCCGTGAAGCACGTTATCATCAACATGACTCTGTCGCCCTCTATAAGTCATTCAAAAATCATGGCAACGTACAGTAGGCCTGCAGTATTACATTCATAGAGATATAATAATAATAGCTCTATGATTACATTGCATTTTGTAATTAAAAATTGATACATTATAGTATATTAAGACATCGGAAAACAATGTATGTATACTGTAAATAACAATCAGGTTCGTCTTATATTATGTATATTTTTTCATATGTATCGACCTACCTGTATGTAATATAGTACAGGCTTATATAATATAGGCTTAAAATAATAGGCACTCTCAGAGATCTAATTACATTAATATGTCTGGCAGGCCTAATATTATTTTATATTGAGATGGATGATCATTTTGATGACTCCAATGCACACTTACCTTATTAGTTCTATGGGTTACAATTATGAAACAAGAATGCTTTTATACAGTTGAAAGTCCTTGCATATCGTGAGCTCAGGTCCAGACCACGGGAACCGCGGGCGGCGCAGCACCGCTGGCACCTTTAAATCAATATACAGTAATGTTCTTTTCTAAAATCTTTACCTCGGGCACCGCTTGCTGGCTTTGACCGTGTGAGCAGTTGGTAAATATTGTGGAACGAAAAAAGTGCACTGCCCGCGGTCGGTACTGTTTTCATTAATAATGTTTCTGTTTTGTTGTGTCTCAATGGTGACGCCAGCAGTGTGAGACTCTACACAGAATGTGAGAACATCAATTAAATAAACCTTTCAAATCTCTAATTCACCACCCCCACTTCTCCCGCTTTGAACCCCTTTAAAGGCCTGGCAACGTCCACTTATGCGATCGTCGGGGAGGTCGCCTTCCCGGCAGGAACATCCCCTGGCCGGCCCCCGTCCGCGACACGATCCGGCAATTCCGGCGCCACCACTATGGTGTCTTTGTATAGCAAATTAACAAAAGGAATATATTTAGTAATAAAATGAATTAAATGCTCTATCGTCACCGGTTAAAGAACTGCATCCCAACTCAATTTCGTTCAGTTATTATATTCTTGTTAATCCAGGTCTGTCGTATATTAGATACCGGTAGTCAATTCATTCGCCAACCATCTTCCCATAGCAAGCCTTCTAGTTCTAGTTCTGGTTCTGGTTCTGGTGGGTCTGGTCACTTAAACCTTTCCTAATTTTCATTTTATCTCTACCCCCTCCTGTTATACTTTACTTCTACTTTACTATCCTTATGAAGTCGGCTTTCCCACAAAAACCAGAACCTTCCCTCGCTCGATTACCTCGGTCCTTTGCTGTTGTTTCAATTAGGTTAGGTCACGTCTGCTTTCAATATGCCTTCATGGTCCACAAGTGATGGACATAGGTTAGAAAGTATGGCGTCCAATTCTTCCCCTTCTCTGTGATGGTGTAAAAGCGCAATCATTTTTTAAGGTTCTCATCTGATAGACGGAGGGTGTTTCCAATGGGTTTTAGTTGATGGGCGCTTACCACTCAATGAGATTATAGGGGTTGTGTTGGTGTTAACATTACAATTCCAGTCGGTACGCTTGACTTGACATGATATTGTAATAGGAGGGCTAACGCATGTTTGTTTTTTTTTTCTTCGATGAATGGCCCATGACTTGCAATTATACAAGAAGATATATTTTTGTAGAAATAAATAGATTTCCCTTCTCTAAAGCAGCTCTAGTTTTCAGAAATGAAGTCAAGCCACTAGTGCTTTGCGTAATTTTAGGTCGATTGCACATTAAATAATATTTCATAAAATCGAGTGAGCCCTCACGAGCCCATTAAGTACCGGTAATCGATCGAACAATACAATGCATCTGAGGAGCGCTAGGTTTTCATCATAGTCGTCGTCATCATCATCCTCATCATCATCATCACCATCACCATCATCATCATCATCATCATCATCATCTCATCATCATCACTATCATCTCATCTATTCTCATCATCATCATCATCATCATCATCATCCTCGCCAGACATTAATGTACATAGCCCTCATGATTCGCACAGCGTCGTTGGAAAGTCATTAAGATTCGGTTATTTTACATAAGATTCGATAGATTATCCAATAAGAATATCGAATTCGTGTCTGGGCTGTTGAATCAACGAAACTGTTGAGGTAGGCTGTTTCCCAACGGATGCTGTCTTGGAAAGACGAACACAACGGGATATTATCTAACTAACAGGACGGTTTATGATCATCATCGTCATCATCATCAAATGATCACACTCTCTCCAGAGAGATGTTTAGACAACGAACACAAAACACAAGCATTACAGACATTTCATTTTCATAATTTTCTTCTTTTTTAATCGCTTGCACGTAAAATTGGAAAACGGACACATTTCTTAATAATAAATAACAATGAATGAACAATAATGTACAATACAAATGCATTGATCTTTATACAATACACATAATTATATAACATTAAGTTAAGACAGGTTGACTTGTGTATTTATCCAACTTTCTTATAAAATTAAGTAAAGATTGGGTTTGCAGCAAATATCTAAAAACTAAATTTCTTAAAATATTAAATATACAAGGTGAACAACTGTGAAAAAACGGGTGACTATAATTTAATTATATAACATACATATAAATGTACTATAAGTAATTATAAAATACATATAAAAGGCCGTGTACTGTATTATATAATTACATATAACTATATAGGCCCAGTCCTATATGTAAAGGGCTCAAAATAGGCTTCATATTTAGTCTGTATATTGTATATACAGTTTACCACATACTGTAGGTCTAATTGAACGTATTCATATATTCAAATAGTTGATATCGGTATATATACACATAATTGTATTATATACGCATACAGTATACACATGTATGTAATGTCCAGGCATACTGTACGTAGCCTATATATGTATGTGCTTAACATGTCTGTAAATCATAGACACATGGGCATACGCTATTATCATACTATTTGAAAAATAGAAATGGAAAATTCACAAACACTGCGTTTACGTGCCACATCATGCGCACACGTCTTGGTGGGCATTGGCGTCATTTGTATTCTGTATTCAAAATCTAAGTACAATGTGCCGCGTTTGGTTGTCTTTATGCCAACACTCCTGATCAATTAAATATACTAAAGAAAACCCCACAATTTATAGAAATCCGTTGAACGGTGAGTCACGTGATTGCTTAAATATATTCAAGGTGAATGCTGGTTTGAGTAGTAAGTAGCTTAAATTGTTATTACTTGCCACGTAAATCAATCTACGTAAAATCGGGGAACAGTGTAATGTCACTGTTCCCTGGTAAAATTGAGAACAATCGAAGAAAGGACGGGTATTATATTGATCATGAATGCTGTCGTTCATAATTACAAAAATGTACGTTTTCAGGTTAACATTACTTCAGATCAAATCATGTTTATGCTCGTCAATTCCCGTGTGAATTTATTATTTTACTAGTTTATAACATACAAAATAATTTTTTTAGAACGTTTGCTTAATCAGACGCTGTCTAGTATATGATCTACCCCTGTAAGGGTATCACGAAGAAAAGGGAACATCAAAATCTGTGATGGACAAAACGTATCGTACAAAACAAGTGGTTTTTTTATGGTTCATCTGAGTACCGGTATTTTCTATACAGTCTATAAACATGAAGAAATAAATAAATCTCATGTAAACGAAAATATATAATCACAACACACAAATTCTATAATTTAAATCTGGCTCTTGTCATATAAAAAACTATAATAACCGTAATAGCACACCAAGATATCCGGCGGTAAAGGTCCATCCGCTGCTTCAAGACAAGACAGGACAAGATAAGCTACGAGATAGTTTATTAGCCAAAAACCGATACTGAACACAATCGATTTTGACGTCTCGATACGTTATACTTAGAACGTTTGGATCGGAACTATGATTTCTTTCTCATAGTATTGTTTCTTTAAAATATTGCCAAACTGCCCAGGCAACGAATTTATCTTAATATTTGTTTTGCTCTTTGTAGAAATTGAAAGATAAACTTAAAAGGTATATGCTGGCTCTAGAATCAATAGTACACATACAGTTCAATGATTGCACTTCTTGTGTTTTTCAGTATAGGCCTGTAAAAAAGTGAAACGTAAATCTGACCGCAAAATGTTTGTAACGTTTGTTGAGGTGGGACGCGATTTCGGCCAATTTCATCTTGCAAAATCGTAAACTGAGTTGCCTAGTAAATATCGTTAAAACAAAACATATGCGGTCATATCTGATAAATCGCAATCAGAATTTCCATTTCTGTCAATGCATCATGTAATACGGTCAAAACTGCGAGTGCCCACCAATCCATGACGATGGATTGTGTGGAAAATCGTCGTAAATCGTGTTTCCGCCATGAAGTTCTTCTCCGCCTGCATGAACCATTGCCCGCATTGCAGCCGTTAGCCCATGTGCTGTGTTTGGATTTACCAAAGCCGATAGATTGCTGTCCGAGGGCGGAATGCTAGGCATCATACCTGGTTGGTTACTAGGTAAGCCAGGCGACTGACTCATAGGATAGCCGTTGGTATTTTGTGGTAAGTAGGGTGCTACTGCAAATCCCCCGTTGTTGTGAGTATTCATCATTTGTGTTGGTTCGGACTCTTCGCTATAGACCATGTTTCTATCAATCGTTAAACCAGCATCACCTGAAATAAAAAAAGAATGTATGATGACGTATAAGTGCAAATTAGTGTCATTTTTACAATGATGATGATCAGAAGATGATGATAATGAAGAGGAGGAGGAGGAGGAGGAGGATGATGACGGTGATATGTGAGTTGGATGGCCGAGCGATTAGGAAGAATCGCCACAACCTACAGTCATAATACCGTATCAGCGCAGGTTCAAACGGCATGCTTGCCTATGGTTTCAAGAGGTGGAACAAGTCTTCTCGGATAAGAACTATAAACTGTAGGCCCAGTGTACAATTAGCTCATTGCACTATAAAGAACCCAGTACACCTTTCGAGACGAGTAGGAGGTTAAACCGATGTTCTAGTCCATACAGACGGGAGTAGTTGGTACCGGTTTATCGGGCAGCTCAGACATGAAGAGACCCTTAGGGCAGACGAAAGTTACACGCTTTGAGCGCTCTGTTCTTCATGAAATAGCGCTATATAAATGCTGTAATGTATGTATGATGATGACTGATGATATTAATGATGATGATGAAGATGGTTATAATGGAAGTAGTGATTTCATTATAATATGACTGATGATAAGGGTGGTGATAATTTTGATGATAAATGATGATGGTGATGATGATGGTTATGATGATAATTGATGATGGTGGTTATGACGACGATGATGATTGTGAGGAAGTACTTACTGTCTGTTTCTGTCTTGTCCCCATCTGATTTCGGAGATGGAACTGAGGAATCACCGACATGACCTGGACTGCTATCCCCCGAACGTTTACCCTGAAAATATTGCCCCCAACGTTGTCTACTGGAATCCTTTTTCAGTCGCTTTTCCTTCGCTCGTCTGTTTTGGAACCAAACCTAATAAAATATATAAAGATGGATGAGAAAGTAATCACAAAAGCCTCCGTTTTTCTTTTTTTGTTAATGCTCAGTAGCCTAGTTGCATAATAAACATTGGTAAATGAGTGTGTGTAAGTGAAAGAATTAATATATAAATAAGTAATAAGGAATATAAATATGTAAATGAATGATTGGATGGAGAGGTTGATATGTATTTTTGTATTTACGGTACGGTATGGATGGATGGATGGATGGACGAACGGACGGACGGATGGATGGATGGATAGATGCAAGGAAGGACGGATGGCGATTGGATGAATGAATAAATCGATGGATGAATAGATGAATGGTTGGTTGGTTGGTTGGTTGGTTGGTTGGTTGGTTGGTTGGTTGGTTGGATAGATGGATTGACGGTTGCATGTATGGATAAAATGATTGAATGATTGGAAGTATTAAAAAATACTGATCTTATTCACCAACACATAACATTTGCAGATTAGTTAAGATAAGTAGAATAGATCCACATTACGTTACACAGCAATATGTTACACTAGGTTGTGCGAGTGCTTACCTGGACCACTCGCATGTCGAGCCCCGTCTCTTGTGCTAACTGTTCCCGTACATGTCTGGGTGGCTTAGGACTGCTGGTGTACGCACTCTTAAGTGTTTCCAACTGTTTGGCTGTAATAGTCGTGCGTGGTCGCTTGTTCGCGTTATCGAGTTCCATTTCTGTAATTTAAACAGTATGAATTATGTATCTCAAGAAAGTTTCATTTCTAAAATGTCTTTTCTTACACATATGATTAAAAATACCTACACATCTCTTCTCTGCGATGGATGTATCTGCAACTGTGTATAAGTGTTTTTTTTAATGGAATATTCCAGTCAATCAGGTCAGCATGGAGACCAGCCAATAAGATTGTCAAAATGTGTATGGGCAGTGATGGCCCCATTCCCTCCCCCCAGCAAGCAAGTTCCACTTTATAGCTGGAATATGGCCAGAAAGGCCTGGACCTGTCTCTTATACACATCTAGATGTGTATAAGAGACAGCATATATATATACATGTATATAATGTAATATAATATGCTATATAATATAATATATAGATATATATTGAGATACTGACCGTTGGTTCCAAAATACTGATCAATTATGTTAAAAAATTCATATTAAATTCACACTATTCATAGGCGGGCCTATACTTATTAAGTGGCTGTTGAATGAAACCCAGTTTAATCGCACGCGTGACCGGCACTGTAAGTCGACATAAGAGCAATATACAAGGGTTGACGCTAACACAAGTAATAAATACTAGGCCCAGAAGCATTGCTTGCGTTTACTTTAACTCGAATAAATTACTCTAAAATGTGAACCAATCCTTACGTAGCAAATTAGCTTGTTTTAATGAATGAGCTGTTTTATTCAACAAGCATAAGGCTTAATAAGAAATTAATCATGACTAATTATCATGAGACAGCCGTTTGAAGCCAAATTTAAATTTTGTGTAACTGCTCTTGTATATATCCATCGAGCTTTAAAGTGTATGTTGTTGTAAATTATTGTTGTTGTGTTCTTTGAAAATAAGCTTTAAATTCTTTAAACTCAAGGTTTGTGTCATTATCTATGAAAGAGCAATAAATGATTGTCACTTGACATTTTTGAATGAAAACAAGAAAGCCATTTGTATCGTACCTTGCAAAATCCTCCCTGCAGAAAACCTCACCATTCCTCGTAAAGCAGCGTTCGTTGAGAAGGCAGTCACACTCTGAGCATCGCAAGCATTTTGCATGCCAAAACCGCTCGAGCACCTTGTGAATAAATCGATCTAAAATCGGGTGGTGACAACCGGCACATTTAGGAATGTTTTCTGCCAATAGAGAAATAATTCGACATAAATAAAACGCTCCTTGACGTTTGAGTTCGTTGTTAGTAGAAGCCTACAAACAAAAACCATCCGACATGCCTTGCAGTGTAGACATCAATCAATGTATAAACACTTAATAATGGTACCGGTGGTAGATAATAATAATATATACACACGTTCATGAAAACTCACTCTACCACTGTATGCCTACCTATCCCACTTTGTCACCAGGTTAGAGTTAAAGTACTTTCAGTAGATTTGAAAACTATGAATTTGACTTGCAAGTTGCAAACAGGGTGGCGCCAGGATTTGCCCGACGAGGGGGCCAAGGTTCTCCGACGGGTGGGCCGATGCCCCGACGAGGGGTCAGATTTCCCCGACGAAAGCAAAGAGGGCGTGGTCGAGCTTCGATTAAAAGGTTTCGAAAGTGGTCCTGGGGACGAAGGCCCCGAAAATTTTGACAATTTAGGGGCTTCAAAGGCTTATTTAACCGATTTTAGAGTCTACTAATATGTAGAAAATACATATAATTTTTTTCTCCCCAACGAATTGTACTTTTTCTCCCCCGGGCGGGGGGTGGGGAAGGGAGCTCTCTCCGGCGCCACCCCTGCTTGCAAACGCATGCCGAATATTTTAGATTTCACAAATGTAAATCAAGTACGCTACAGTTTTATTTGGAAATGCACCTATATTTTAGTGGAAAGACGCTTACTTTTAAATCGCAGGCTCAATGATTAAAATCCTAGATGTTTCAGCAGTTCCATTTAATCTTAAGGCATAATTAAGCCCATGAAAACTTAACCCCTTTAAGATATCCCTGTATTCAATGTGTGGTTTGCTTCTAAAAGTAGATCTAGGTCTACATATTATTATAATATTACTTAATAATAATACAGGTCTCCCTCCAATTAAAGATCCACCTAATTAAAGACCACCTCTAATTAAAGACCACTTTTCTGTGGTCCTATATGATAATATAAAATCTTTATCTTTTATTATTCTAATTATAGAACAAAGCTTCTAAAGACCATGGAAACTCGGTCCCAAAAGCCGACTTTAATTGGAAGGATACCTGTATTTAATAGTAAGGTGATAATAAAATAATAATAGCAATAGAAATCATAATAATAACGTATAGTGCAAATCCCAAACAATACCAACAAGAACAATACTCAGATGCTTGATTTATCTCGCACACACCGTATATTAACCAACTTGTAGAATTCACAGAAACAATCAACATACGATTAGCCTACACACATTAGTCATAAAGAGAGCCTGGCCACACTCACAATTACAGGAGAATGCACCTGACTAGCGCATATTAAAGAGGCCCTGCTATCGATCTAAGAATAATTCTTGAAACTCTTACGGAACCGCATCAATTCCCTTTAAAGAATCGCCCGTCCGTGATTTCCTAAGCAAATCGCCCAGGTTTTTTTTACGAGTGCGGAAGCCATATCGGTTGTTATTATTGACTTGTATATCGTTTGGATTATGCTTGCGCACACATTATTATAATGTTGATGAAAAGACAAAAGCGCCCTCGTCGTGAAAATTTTTGACACGCATTATTTGTTAGTTATGACAATTGATTTATGTTGTTTTTTCAAACAACATTTGGATGCATAGTATAGCGATGAACTTTGACATTGTAGACGCATAATGTGTACATGTACGTACGTACGTATGCATCAAATATCAAATACCAACTATTTAGATTTCTGTAGCCACTCATTGATGTTTAGTTTGCCACTCATCTGCTGCGCTTTAGGCAAGTACTGTTCATCAAAATGTGTGTCCGCTGACCATCGGCGGCAGTCTTAACGGTCGTCATTGAAAAGCCGTCGCGCGACGCCTTAGCATGACGCGCCATTCCGACGACGCAGTGTGTGCCGGATTTTACTTTAACTGCGCAAATGTTAGGCAAGGCCTACTTTTAAAACGTCTTTTCACTATTGATGCGCTCTCAGATTCGTTGCTACGCGACTGAACGTACAATTATGGATTAGACTTTTTAGGTTTACCGCTTCCGAGTGCCGTTACTGCGTCCGGTAGAAGTCGGCCTTTAGTTGGATCACGTGTTTCTATTGTACTGTACTACAGTACTAATAGACGAGTCTCCATGACAACTAAAATTGAATATTCAACAGCAAATTTTCCATGAGAACGATTTAATGCTTTATCATGTATTCCATTCTTATGCTTATCTCAACGAATACATCTCAAAGAAAATACAATAGTTTCATTTTATATCAGCAACGTTAAAATAGGTAACCAAACCAAGGAGATATATAGGCCTGTATTATTAGTAGTATGAGCTTACTGTATACATTATACTAGGCCTTGGGCGCAACACACGATTCCTCAAGCTTTTCATCGGGGACCAGCTGCGTAAACAACCGCAGCATCTTGTTCGCTTGCCTTATGCACTACTACCTCTAATAAGATACAATATTTCGCATTGAAATATTGTATCCTTGAATTATGTATTATTGTACACAACGTGCACAATATTATTCTTACAACAAAACCGCGATTCTTCAGCGAAAGAGCAAATCATGATTTATGTCAACGCTGGATGTCGAATCAAAACAAAAGTCAGTACAAGATCACTCAATTTATATCATTAGACCTAGCAGAGCATTTTCATGATCAGTAAGAACGCAATTGTTATGTTCATAAGTAGTACGATTTCACAATGATTGCTATTCATTATGTGTTTTTATATTTATATTTTTCTTTTCAATTGCATTAGACTATGCTTTTATGATTTCAAACTGTAGTCGAATGACTACCGTATATAATGTGTTATATATCTATTTGACGTTGTCAGACAAGGCCCTATACCTTATGCGTTATGATTTCCTATGCCCGAATGACCTCTACATTAAATATACATAGGGGTCTACCCCTACGTCTATCTATGACTCTTTAATCACAGGGTGTTTACAATAACTTAATTACTAACGGGTAATTAGATCTCATTATTATCGTTCATTGTTACATTATTACAAAAATAGTCAACGGTAACTTGGGTTTTACTACCGGATCACGAGCAATATATAAAGTAATATTATATCATTACCATAAAAATATGTCGCATTGATTTATATTTTAGAAATATTGATTATTTCAGCACGTGTTCGATTTTTTTTGTCAGAATAATGAGATCCCATGATAAATATTAGTGACCACGTAGCGTAACTAATTGGAAATAAAAAAAGATCCCACGCACACACTAACCTTGAGTAGGGAAAGTCATGTTTATTTTTATTATTTTCTTGTGTCTAGGTCAATAACTCGTTAAAGAAGGTGTATGTGTACAGTGTACATTTTGAGCGACGCGAGCAAATTCTGAATGAACCTACGCGCTGCATCACATCCAGTCAAATGACGGATAGCTGAATATTCCATTTTGAACAGCATGCACGGATGAATGACTTATTGGCTTATAGGCCTATATACATACGCCTATATTTTATATATATAAATTAAAATAGGTATATATATACATATATATAATATATTTAACTTATATATATAATATATAGGCCTATATACTTATATATATGTATATATACATTTTATTTTATACATATATAAATCAAATAGATATATATATATATATGCATATATAATATATTTAACTTATATATAATATAATACTTATATATGTATATATAGGCCTATATATATATATATATATATATATATATTCGATACTCTTTTTGTAATAAAACCAAAAAGTACTGCAGTTAAAATACCTTCATAAAATGTATCACTATTGGGCCTATCACAGGCTTATAGTTGCTAGGCATATCGTGGTTTTATTGAGGAATGAATAATTCGTCACATCTGTGATTGCGTGAAACACATCCTAACCGATATAACAGACACTATTTGATAGGACCGGCGCGTGGTCAATTGCGAATAAAGAGCTTACTGAGACTTCTCAGCCTGTGCACAGATATAATTTGACGCAACGGTAACGCGATTACGTAACATAATTTGACCATATACAATGAGTTTCTGAAAGGACTTATCTATCCTTTTTATAGAGGCTGAGTAGGGATGAAAAATGATGGTAGTCTTTGTTACAAAACATCACATTTTCTAAGGTCTGTATTCGGTGAATATAGGAAATGACCGTTTATACCAACAAATTTTCAAATTTTGTAGAGATTTACTAGCCAAGAAAACGGCAACATGTTTTGTAGGTCTATTGCATTGTCTAAGATTTTTAATACAGTGCAAATAAATAGGGCCTACTGTAGGTTGTATTGGTCAAACTGATTATCCATCGATTTACATCGACAATCGTTTGCGATGTACCATATAATTTGTATTGATAATAAATCAAATATTTTGTATATGTGATCTGTAATAATAATTATCTCATACCCACCTTTGGCTGTAACAGTATAACCATTTCACATTATATCAGCCATCGCAAATTATGTAACTGAAATTAAGCACTGCATTTAAGGATTCATATAATAATGTAGGCCTATGTATCTTAGCAAGGGTATTGAATTCTTACCGATATTAACAACATAGGTGCTTGCGTCGCTAGAGTCTATTACGGTGCTAGTCAACATTGATGATGGCGTCTCTTGCCGCATCTTTCCGTCTTATTATGCATACGCCTCTCTCAAGACAAGGAGCAAACTGAGCTCAGCTCTCTTTGTTCTCTCGTGAATCTCAAGGGTTCAAAACGTTCTAGTAGGCGGCTTGTTGCAATCCGACCGCATTAACCAACGCAGAATTCTGGGCCTAGCTCCTTTGGATATACTGTGTATGGATGCGGTGTCAGAGGGATGATGATGAAGAGTGTAGCCAGTAAGTTTGCTCGTCCGCCGAGATTTTGTGAATGAACCATTTCTGTACGATCAAATTCTTGATAAAGATTGTCTCATTATGCGGCTAGCTATGTGACAGTCGGCTTCATGCACAGCGGGCATTCAAGCGTACCAAAAGAGTCAATCAATGATATAAGCCATCTGATTCGTCAATACGAAGCGATTCTCTTGCGAATGACTTGTTTCGACCAATCAATACAGGAAGCTCTCGTGAAGCTCGTGCCAGTCGTACGCTTAGCATGTGCTGTACTGTTTACAACTAGAAAAGCAACAAAGGTCTTCCACCAGCCTTTGTTGCCACACGCGCCGCTGTTTGCTTCCAGATTTCAACACCTTTCTAAGCTCAACTTAAAAAGTAAGAACTTAAAAAGGAACAAAGACGGACTCGGTGAAACCTATGGACCAGAAATTAAGCTTGTCGACGTAAGACGATTACGGGGGTCTGTGAGGACATAGGTAACAAAACATGATCGACGCTTGTGGGTTGTATGAACATTGCTGAGGATAACCATGGATGGAGGAGCTATACCAAAATAAACTTAGCCTGTAGCTCCATGGGACAACCATTCAAAATGTTTTGACGTTTAACGAATTGGATAAAGGGTTACAACTCATAAAACAAATTAATGTTAAACAATGAGTTCAGTTACCATGGCAATCACAAGCGCAGAAAAATAGAACCAGCGCATTGACATTAAAAGACCAAAATATGTCCAAACTGTGAGGATTATATATATACTGTCTCTTATACACATCTAGATGTGTATAAATATATATATCGCTATTAAACCAGGATCATAACTGGTACTTTATATATTTTCTCAAATACAAAGAAGCTTATGATTGGAACTTATTACAGACCCCCTAATCAAGGCCCGGAATCTATTGAAGTTCTTTCGGCGCTACTAGATGAAGCGATGGCCAGAAGTCCTAGTCACAGATTCGTTCTTTTAGGAGATTTTAATTTACCTAAAATAAATTGGTCTTCGAAACCACCTATTGTACCACCTAATAGTTGCGGTGAACATTTTCTGGATTTAATTATTAATGGACAGCAATTTGAACAAATGTAACTATAACGTAACTTGTAATAACCATGTACTTGATCTTGTACTTTTTAGTCGAAACAATGATAAAAAATGTGATCTTGTTTCTGATATTTATGTTGGTGAAAACATTTTTATCCCTGACCATGAGTCACTAAGTTTCAAATTATCCGTTTGTAGTACGACTCGGTCACATGAAAGTGACCGTGTCATGTATAATTACAAGAAGGCAAATTTTAATGTAATTGATGAAACCTTTAGTCATATTCCATGGAATATCCTAGATCTTGCTAGTAGTATTGATGATAGCGTAGAAATGTTTTACGACTTGGTCAGCGCGACTCTGAAAAATCTTGTTCCTGTTGTGCGCCCTAAGCGCAAACTTCCTCCGTGGTACGATTATACACTTTACACAATGTTGTTAAATAAAGAAAAATGTTTTGTAAAAAAGAAAAAATGTGCTTCTACACAAAATGTGGCAGCGTTTAAAAAGGCCCGAAGGGAATTAAAAGCAATGACCTGGCAAAAGTATAATTTTTTTTTGGCCAAACTATCTCAAGAACTGAAAACTAATTCCAAATGATTCTGGTCTTGGATGCGTAGTAAACGCAAGTGTAAAAATATACCACCGTGTGTTAAACTCAACAACATAAGTGCGCATACTGCTCAGGCGAAATCTAATATTTTTATTAATCATTTTTCTTCCTTTTTTAGCGACGCTGATGACCCATCGGTTGGCTTTCCGGATCTTCCTGAGGTTCCTACGAGCACCCTGGACACTATTCCTATTAATCTCTCTGATATCCGTGCTCATCTCAGCTCCGTGAAGCAGCATAAGGCCTCAGGATGGGACCCTCTTAGTAACATCGTCCTTAGGTCATGTTCCGACTCTTTGTCTATTCCACTTTGTAACATTTTCACCAAATCAATTCAGTCTGGATTTTTTCCTTTATATTGGAAACGCTCGAACATTGTTCCCATTCATAAGAAAGGACCTAAGGACGATGTTAACAACTACCGACCTGTCTCACTTCTGCCGACCGTTTTCAAAGTTTTCGAACGTATCGTATATAACTCTATTTATCCTCGCATTGCTCCTTACATTGCTGATCAGCAACATGGCTTTATGTCCGGTAGGTCCTGTGAGACCAACCTTGCGTGTCTCCTTGCACCAGCCTATGAAGCCATCAAATGTAAGAAGCAATGTGACGTAATTTATACAGATGTTTCACGTGCATTTGACAGAGTTTCGCATGCCCTGTTACTTCACAAATTACACAATTTTGGTTTTCGTGGTAGTTTACTTTAATGGTTCACTTCTTACTTGAATGGTAGGCAGCAGAGAGTCGTCATCGAGGGTTCATCATCGGAGTGGCATAATGTTACTTCAGGTGTTCCACATGGTTCTATCCTTGGGCCTTTACTCTTCAATATATACATCAATGATCTTATTCCTCTTTTCAAACACTCTAAGAGCCTCCTCTATGCTGACGATCTTAAACTCTATAATACTATCTCTTCGCTCGAGGATGCTAGAGGACTCCAGGAAGATTTGGACACGTTGTACCGTTGGGCGTCAGCGTCTTGTATGATACTACATCCCGACAAGTATAAGGTTTTATCAATTACATTAAAAAAGCATCCTTTGAAATATGACTATAAAATCAATTGCAATGCACTCATTAAAGTAGATTATCATAAGGATCTTGGTATATTTATTGATTCGAGTTTAACGTTTACTTATCATATTAATTTTATTACGGCGAGGGCCAACAGAGTCTTGGGAATGATGTGGCGCAATTGTAGATCTTTTGATATTCCTACAAAACGTTTTCTTTATCTCACACTGGTTAGACCATCTTTAGATTTTTGTTCTGTCATTTTTAATTCAATATCTAAAAGTAACTCTAAACGAATTGACAGGATACACTTTAGGTTCTTTCGCTTCATCAGTCCTGAAACATTTGGCCCTCGTCGTATTAACAATAATATAATCAATTTCGACGATGCCATCATTGACTCGGTCAATAAAAAGTTAAATGTTACTTGTCCGTCTTCTAATCGTATGTACCTTGATCTTTTGTTCCTGTTTAAATGTGTGAATTCGTGTTATTGTAACCTTATCTCCTATTTCTCATTTAAAGATCCTGGTCGTCGTCTTCGTCAACGTGATTTATTTTCTGTTCAGTTTTGTCGTGTTAATGTCTGTAAAAATGGTTATATTTCTCGATTATCTTGTTTGTATAATGATTTTGTTACCAAATGTCCTGAAGTTGATAATTTTTCCAATTCTTTAAATATGTTTAAATGTCACCTTAATAATTATATTTCTCATTAGTGCTGTATGTTTTTAGTGTTATTTGTAAATTTTTTAAATTTTTAAGTGTTATTTAAATGTTTTTTTATTGTAATTTTAGATACTTTTTTGTAATTTATACATTTTATTTGTAAAATACTGCAATAATATAAATCATATAAATAATAATTATTATACTTTTATTTTTTATGTCTTGAGAATTTATTGTACTGATTATATTATATTTTCTATATATTTTTATTACAATTTTCGCCTGTAAGTGGGAACGAAGAGTTCCCGTTGGACAATTCTTATCTTTAAACTTCCTAAATTTATTTAAAACTTTACAAACAAACATTATAAGAGACAGGCTTATAGGCCTATAATATAAAGGGGGAAAAACGCACAGCGATATAAAGGACAATGGCCTGAATAGTTCCAAATTCAAATTTTGTTGATGGCTTTAGGTTACAGTCAAAATCGGTAATATTATATTTGCTGTGTAGGCCTATATCATTGTTGTACTTTAATGTTGATATTGAGCCCCAGTGACAGTTACTGAACTATTGATTAACAGTTTATGTTTATATCTAGGCCTAATTGCCTACCACGGAGAAAAGCTGTTTGCTTACTAGGGTACAGATTCTGTAAATACTGGAATTTTTCAGAATATACTTGAACAATTAGATTTCTTGAGGCTTAAAATCAGACTCTAGAAGAAAAAAATTTGTTGTTTGAATATATAAAGACTAAAGGAAAATGTGTAAAAAGGGGCGATTACGCAACTTTTCCCCTACTTGTTAAATATTCAAAAATCCGGATCTCATTTACCGTTTCCCAGTTATTCCTCAAACAACTTTTTTCTGTCTTAAAAAAATCGGTTCAACAACATACCAACAATTTTTTTCCTCCGGACCAGACTTTAGTGATAATGACTGATAATAATATAAGATTTTTAACTCTCTTATTCTAATTCCTAAATCAAATATTTTAATATCTTTTAATTCAATGGAACTTTTAATATATTTTTTTTTTAATCTTATACAGTATTTATTCTGTATTGTGTTCCTGTGTGGAGAACCTCCTGACTGTTACCGATATGTTTTTATAACATTTATGTAATCCTGCCTCGTTGAATTACGTTCATAAGGAATAAATTATTTAATGTTATTTAAATCATGTAAATTGCGGTCTTTTGTATAAGAATGAAATCAATTTAAAGAAGAATGTGGATTGGTACTGTTAAATACTGACGATACTGATTAAAAATATATTACTACGGTATAAAATCAAATAATATACAAAAGAAGTGACGTTGCTGCAAGTGTCAGTAGTCTACATACGTTCGGCAAGCCTGCTCATGGCTGATGCTGCGCGTCTTAAACTGCGGTGGTGGACCTTTCCTATCATTCGACACTATTTCTACCCCTCCTGTTATGCTCCTACCTTTTTGTCCTTAGGAGGTCGGCTTTACCCACCAGAACCAGAACCAGAACCAGTCGGCTGAGTCGACTCGGAGGCATATATATTATAAAGGGTTGCGACATTTCGCTCCTCTGTTTGCGAAAGTCACGTGGCATATACCGGCCATGTTTGTCACGTGTCCAAATCTTCCCGATGAACACATGCAAAGTTTATGAGAGGTACATTACAAAGTATTTTCACATGTTTAATTGTGTTTATGATAAATAACTATTTAATATCAAAAGCGTGATTTAGAATTTATCTTCGAATTCGAAT